CCACATTAGATCATCGGTCGGCAGAGCACAATTTGCTAAAGATTGATGACACTATCAGGTCCTTCCGCAGTGAGGTCGACAACATACTGCAGAAGTTTGAGAAGAGCAGGCAGCACTTCAAATCTACTGAAAAGTCAATCGAACATGCACGAACAAGATTGCAAAAGAAACTGGCTCAGGCTCATAGTGATATTGATGCAAAAGCAGAGGCAGAGATCACTAAAATCAGAAACAAAGCAAAGCTTCTCACCACAAAGGTCGACAACATCGGTCAGGTGAGAGATAGACAGTACGAAAAGGTGCTCATGCACAACCGTGACCAGATGGAACGTGCAGATCAGACCATCGCGGCAGTAAATGACTTGATGAGACAAGTCGATGATTTCGAGCTTTTGGAGCTCAAGCCGAAGGTGATGCACAACTTGGAATTCCAGAAGGAGCTCAAGTGTGAACCGGTGAATCATGGTCTGTCGTTCATCGGTGTCAGATGTCAAGACGTTGTGAGTGATGCAGAGCTTGGGGAGGTCTGTGTCAGCAAGAAATGGCAGTTAAAGGAAGAGTTCGGCAAAGAAGGTACCGGTGACGAGGAATTCAAATTAGCCACAGCTGTTGCATGTTTCAGAAACGGGGACATCGTAGTAACTGACACAGATTTGAAACGATTATCGTTGTTTAGCTCAACTGGGAGGTATAAAACATCGGTTGCTAAAGGAGATGTTAGGCATCAGTTGGAAGCTCCTTGGGGCGTTGCGGTGTCCCATGATGATCTGCTTTTTGTCACGGACAAAGAGAAAGTGAAGGTTTTTGACACTGAGCTCCACTTTGTTCGCGAGTTTACACCTTCAGCTGACGATGCCGATGGGCGATCAGTGAGTTACCTCACTGCTGTTGCTGTTGACAGTCAGCGAGTAGCAGTCGCTGACAGCGGGAGAAAGGTCATCAGTGTCCACAACCTGGACGGATCGTTGATTGCAAGCATCTCAAATAATATGGTCGAAAATTTCTTGACAATAAGCAATTTTGGCTGTTTAGTCTTCACAAACGTTTTGGACCAGATTTTGCTGTGCATTGACTTTAAGGGTAAAGAGATGTTCAGTGTCAAGACATTCATGAATGGCAAAGCTGCTAAGGCAACTGGTGTCCTGTGCGATGATGATGAGACCATCTATGTTGTTGTTCATTCTCGAAATCAGGGACACTGTGTAGTGCAGCGATACGATTCAAATGGTGCATTCGTAGCAACAGTAGCTCAAGGGTTGTACAATCCGTTAGGAATGGCATTCACCCCTGCTGGTGACGTAATTGTCGCTGAAGTACACTCCGTTAAGATCTTTGAGCGGATGTGATTTGCCTGATTATGGCCCTCCAAAAAACTAACCGCTGTACTTGAACCGGGGCTAACCTGCATCCAATGATTTGCCTTACAAGGCCTGGCAAAATATTACTATTGTAGTTGAATGAGGGCTATTTACATCTGCTACATTCCTGAAATAATATTTACCCAGATTGTAAAACCCGTTCGAAATTGAAATAACTGGTAACGTTGGTGTGTTATCATTAAAAATCTCCCTCAATACATTTCGGCATGTGCGTAGGCCTCATAGAGCTTATTTAAATTACTAGAGCGCCAACTCGATGTACAAAGAGATGCCTGATGAGCACATCCATGTTTGTACACAAACCTATGGAGAACTACACATTTTGTACGTATTCTGTACGTCTATTTGCATATCAGCGTTAATTGTATTCCAGACTGATGCGTTATCGAAGCCAATACGCCCAAAACCGAAACGCATGATCAGCAAATGAGCGTGTCATTTTGCTCTACGCAAACAGGGCAAAGCGAGCGCGTATTCGCTGCAGATGCTTTTTGCTGTAACGTTTTTTGAATTGTCATGACGCGCTTCAGTTGTTTGCGTATGTTTTACTTGCGCGTTGCATGTAGAGTACACTTTCAAAATTCAATCCATCTATTTCATTATGTTCTACAAACACGCACATGAATTCAAAATGTCCGCGCCCAGGACGGCTTCAAAGCGTCTCCGTGCGCAAGAATGAGGAGTTGGCGCTCTAGTAATTTAATATAGCTCTATGTTAGGCCAAAAAAACCAAAAGTATTCGGTCTCTGGTCAGACCAAAGTTCCGGAATTGGCGCGGGGACGCGTTGTTTTTTTTTTCTTTTTTTCTTCAAGCTTTGATTGTACAGACAAGGTGGGGTACTATTTTGCTTTTTTGGTGTCCTCATGTACATTGGTGTCCTCCATAATTTGCCTTGGTGCTCTCGATCATTTGCCTTGGTGCAATTTCCCATTTCTTGGTGCTCTTTGGTAAAAAAAAAATTGAGGAGGTGCGGCAATACAGGGCGCTGTTGGAGCTACCGCGGAACATTTTGGAAAAAAAAAAGATTGACGCGCATGATTAAAATCGACGCGCGCGCTGACCAGAGACCGACTTATTTTTTTTTTGCCTTAGGCCTACATCCCGTTATGGGGATTTTTTTTTTATTGTTAGGAAAATTAGGACCGAGTTATGGGGACTTTCTGCTATCCCCACAGCGTTTTCGGTCCCCACAAATGTATGAGTAGGCCTATGGTGTACTCTCCAGTAATAAAGTCATAAAGAGAAATCGTGGAAGAAATCGTGGAAGAAATCATGGAAGAAAAGGGTTGAATGTTTCTTGAACCGTACAACAGTTTTTGCTGACAAACTTTTTTAAGATTGAAGGGACCGTACCTCCTTAAATTCGGCATTCAATTCACAAATGTAAAATATGGTCATCACTGTGAGGTAATGTTAAAAGTACAATAGGTCCATAAATTAATAGGTAATATGAAATGTCTTAACTCCTAATGAAGCAAATTGTGCCAATCTTCATTTTGTAGAAGTACATTGTATATGAAACACAATGGCACGTGACTATGTAAATATTCAATTCAAAGCTTTGTACATTTTGCATGTTTTGTTAATTCCTTGGATCACAAAACTGATGACCATCACACAAAACATTTGTGCAATGTCCATTTTGTGATTACGTAGTTAACGTGGACAGACTGCATGTATGAACTCTGAACTTGAATCAACAGCAGTGTTGTAGTACTCGTACTCGTACTGGATTGTCAAACTACTCATACTCGAAATGACGGTACTCATACTCGGGCAGCAAAGTACTCGTACTCGACATGATGAATTTGTACTTGCTTATCAAAGTACTTGTACTCGAAAAAAAAAAAAAGGTATAGATTGACTTACCACGGCCTTATTTTATTATCGATATTTTCAGTTGGAAATGGTTGATTTACTTGCAGAGACATCAAAGTTTGCTGAATTTTTTCTGTGTACATCCAGAAAAACACATTTAACAGCTAGCCATGAGTGGGTCTGTATATTGGTCTGACTGTGCCTGGGACAATTATGCAAAATGAACCATTTGCCGTATGGCTGTATTCGGAAATAGAAGTACTCGTACTCAGATTACAAGTACTTCTACTCGTACTTAGAAGTACAAATACTCTTACTTAGAGACCTGAACTTGTACTCAGAAGAAAAAGTACTTGTACTCAGTAACTTAAGGACTGGGCAGTACTTGGTACTTGGAAAAAAGTACTCAACTACAATACTGATCAATAGCGTTTGTATCGTTGGTACTGGAACAGTTATGTATGACATTGGCTTTTTCCCCTTGGTTAAAGTTTTTTCTGTCAATCCATTTTTTTTAATACCTTAGTTGTTAATATTCTCCTAAAATTTAATCCAATTGTTAATTTTACTCCTTTGTCAAATTCCTTTTTGAGTTTTTTATTCATTGCTTGATCCAGATTGAGATTTCTTTTAAACTATTTGTTAATTAAGAATTTAAATTGTTTTTTTTGGTATGTGAAGATAAGCTTTAATAAGACTAAATTACATTTTTGAGAAGTTAATTTTGTTTCCTTGATTTTCTATCTTTTTTGTCCCAGTTTCTAAAAGTAGATCACAACCTAATCATTTCAACCAGTTGTTTTTTTTAGTGAGCCTTTTTTTCCCCCGTTACACACAGCCCAAAAGACAATACAACGACTAAAAAGACTATTCAAGGCTGACAAAGTTCTATGCACGTAGCAACCAACATAACATCAGCAGTGTTTTGCATGTTGTGCGTTTTGTTCCCACATGTTTCAAAGTTAGGTTCTAACATTTCATGAAGGGTTAATTTGGAAAAGTGCGAGGAAATTTTCAATCACTTTCAAACAGAAATTAAAAAATACTTTTATGGGATCTCGGTTAAATTAATCAGTCATCTCTCAAAAATAAGCAGAATGTTTGGGTGGGGCGTTATAAAACAAATATTGACTGCTTTTAACTTGTAGTGTAGTAAAACTGGCCTCTCTTGGATCATCTCAGGAGGCTAGTTTTACCACACCAACCAAAGTAGTCAATACTTGTATAATATCTTCAAGTTCGGGGATTCAAACAATTTTTGTTTGTCATTCGAGTAGCTCACCCGGATCAAGTCAGGTAAAGGCAGACGGGTTAGCCAAGAGAGCTGTGCTAATGAAACGCTCAAATGCAGGCCATCGAGAGCCTCACGTGACGTCCGTAGCCGCGGCCGTAGCCACTGACAAAATGCCCTTTTCGAACTGAATCTTATTTTCCAATTTTCTGCTTTTCCATCAATCGAAATAAGTAAAAACGCCGGGCTGGAATTATAGCCTCTAAAGTTGCAATGAGATCAACAAATAATTACGTTTAGACTTCAAATAAAGTTGATTTTTAGGTCCACTTGATCTTTTCCACTGTCCGGCCGCCATGTTTGTCCATTTCTTGGAATGAACAACACATGTGTGATGTATTTCCACCAGTGACTCTGCTCCACGAGCAGGGTCTGTGGTGGCTGACCCGGTTGAGCCCCGAGAATGACGTCAGAGCTAATCGAACGGCCCGGGGCTAACCTGAGTCGACCCGGGTGAGCTAATCGAACGCACCCTAAGAAAGGAGCTACGCAAAGAAAATAAATGCCGTACCTTCATGGCAACCAGTCCTCTCTCTACTAGATTGTATCCCCCGAGTTCCTCCAGTACCTGTCTGCATTCAGGACTCACGTGAATCTTGAGCGCTGTTAAATTGATGGGGTGAGGGAAAATAAATTATTCGGCTCACAAATATAACATATCATGAACATTTTCCGTGAATAATTGAAGTTTGGTTATACCATAGAGCTATAATAAATTATTAGAGCACTAACTCGCTGTACACATGAAGCCTGCATGGCCCAATTTTATGGCTCTGCGTACCACAAAATTCCACGCTTACGATCATCATTTTGTGCTCACCACGCTAGCGCAATTCTGCACTAACAATTTTCTGCTATAGTAAGCACGGTTTTTTTTGCTAACGGTATTAGAGCCATGAAATTGAGCCCAATTGGGCGCATCAATATTTGTGCACAAACCTAGGAAAACTCGAAATTTAGTATGGCTTTAGTACGGCTATTTGCATATCTGCATTTGTATTCTATACCAGTGCGTTATCAAAGCCGATACGCCCACAACCAAAAAGCACAATTAGTACATGAGCGTTTCATTTTGCTCTGCGCAAACCTACGCAAACTCAAACGCATAGGCGCTGCAGATGACATTTGCCGTAACATTTTTTACCGTCACACTCACAGAAAACGCACTTACGTTGTTGGCGTAATGTACTTGCGCCTTGCATTTTAATAGAGTACATTATCTGAAATCCATTCCGTGTGATTTTATTATGTTCCACAAACATGCACATGAATTCAAAATGTCTGCGCCCAGGACGGCTTCAAAGTATCGTGCATGGGGTCCACAGCGCCAATGGAATGAAGCTTTCCAACATGAGGTGGGGCTGGTTCACACTTCATGCTTAGTTACGTTTGTGTGTTTACTTTCTCGAATCCATATATCAGCATAATTTGAGCTGTCTAGTGTAACAAGACTTACCGAGTCCGTTAGACTCCATACGAGACGCTGTGTTGACCGTGTCACCAAAGAGGCAATACCGAGGCATGGTCAGGCCAACTACACCCGCCACACAAGATCCTTGAAAAAAGTCCGAAACAATGAAGAAATTGTCATACATACACAACATTTTCAAGCATAAATAGCTTGAGCAGAGCTTGAAGTTGTGATTCACTTATGACCGGACTTGTGATGTACTTGTGACTGGACTTGAGATGTACTTGTGACTGGACTTGTGATGTACTTGTGACTGGCCTTGTGATGTACTTGTGACTGGACTTGTGATGTACTTGTGACTGGACTTGTGATGTACTTGTGACTGGACTTGTGATGTACTTGTGACTAGACTTGTGCTGTACTTGTGACTGGACTTGTGATGTACTTGTGACTGGACTTGTGCTGTACTTGTGACTGGACTTGTGATGTACTTGTGACTGGATTTGTGATGTACATTTTCAATGGGTGTCAGACCAAATTTGTCGACAAGTTTGCGTATAAAACATCTAACAAGCCAAAAAAGGGTCCTCAAATTTACATATTTTTTAACAGAAAAATTTATGGGTGTGAAAAGTAAAATTTGCTGACAAACTTGCAATGAAATATTTGACTAGTCGTCCCCCACCCCTAAAAAAAATGTTGACAACAGTAAAATAAAAAGGCCCTCAATTTTACAAATTTGCCGACAACAATTAGGGATTTGTTGACAGAAATTTTGAATGTGGGGGTGTCACACCACCCCCACCCCCTGCTTGCAATCCATCCTTGACCGCAAGCAAAGACAATGATCTTACCTGAGTGAATACCGATTCGGAGTTTGAGTTTCTCCTCTTGTTTGTGCGGCACGATGAAACTACTAACACCTTCCAGCAGATGCCATGCAGCGGATGCGATCATACCGGCATGACGGTGGCCATTACGGAGTGGTTGGCCGGCGACCAGCATGTAGGCATCGCCAATGGTTTCAACCTTTGTAAGACGTTATCATTCATTATTGGTTAATTTTGCTTTCAGATATAATAGAAAACATGTTTACATCTTTTTTTTTGTCTTAATGTAACTTGGAACAATTAGCTAATAGCACATTTTAACGTCCTGTGATTTACATTTTGTTGCACGTTTGGTTTTAAACAATCTGCTGGGTTATATGGAATATTTACCTTGTAGACGTCATAGTTGGAAATGATGGCGTCGAACAGCGTGTACAAGGCATTCAACAAGTTAACGACCTGGCAAGTTGAGAACAAGACGTTAATGGTGAAAATGTGGGGATAGGTTTGGTTTGCAGTAATTTGAGATGACAATTTGAAAAAATTTGAATACACTATGCTGCTTTTCAATTTTGTATTTGTATATTGGTACCTATAAAACTATACATGCAACTAAATTTATGCAATGGAAAGGCGTATATGAAAAGGTGGTTTAAGAATACATTTAGACCTTTAAGTCAAAACCATAGACGAAATTGCCACACAATTGAAGCCCCAAATCTAACTGAAGAAATCTCATGCATCTCATACATGTACTTGGCCTTAAAGCTACAGTCCATCAGTCCATCATTTGCAGCTATCCAAAAAGTAACTGATGTAATTATTGTTGAAAAACATACTCAGTTGAAAGATAGTAAGGGGACTAAACTCCCTGTGAAATTCTTCTTTCTGGCAAGCTGTCATTTTGAAGAAATCAACGAAAGAAGGCCTTTCCAACGGTGAGTCTAAAGATGCATCGTTGGAAATTTCCGTTAGTAGTTCGGGGTTTTTTTTGCGGCGAAGAGCGCGAAAGCGTTGGCATGACGCACACACGCGCGCGGTTGCTACAATTCATTGGATCGGTGCGCGACATTGTGTAGCTGCAATTGGCTCAGTGAGAACGTGTCTCGGACACTGCATTCAGGCCCAATTCAAAACATGATTCAGCAACTTTTGATTTGAAATTGAGATCCTAGAATGCTGTTTTTCTCGGAATATACAGCTGAAGCTGAGCTGAAACTTCATCAAGTTAGTTGATCAGCACCCTTCTTTAGATTTTGAGCACGTTTCTTGCTTCAAACGAACAAAATGCACAAATTACAAATGATGGACTATACCTTTAAGTGCATACTGAGCCAGGCCCGATCATAAATCTATGGACTCTGTTCACGAACACAGAGGGCGCTTTTTGACAACTTTTGAGAGCCGTAGTTGGAGAGACTCATCACGTGCACGAAATCAGTGCGCGTGCATATGGCGCGAAATACACAAGATTATTTTTTGTGTGGATTTGCACCAACCTGTAGCTTTTTCGCGTGAGCGTCAGCTGCAATGCGTTCGAATGTAAAAATAATAGTGTGGTGCTGATATATAGCGCTTTATCCGCTCCTTTCACAAGTACCCCCTCACCGGCAAAGGAAGTACAGTTGGGGGTGACCGACCGACGCCATCTTGCCTGACTGCAATTCATTTGTCGCGAAGCGCGGCCACTGCGTGTAAATCGAACAAATCCCTTGGTGTACGTGCGTCACACACAAGGAACGGTGCGTGTCAACCAGCGAAATGTCCCGCCCATGGGACCATCGTTGTTAGGTAAAAGGGCGCCCTCTTTTGGTAGCGCACGAAGCTCATACTAAAAGCGCTTCACAATTATTAACCCTGTTCATCAGGCCATGAGACCAGTTTTTACAGCAGCTCGAGATCAGCGCCTTCTGGTCTCTACCTTCACAGGTACCCACTTATACTCCTGGGTGGAGAGAGGCAATAATTGTCTTACCCAAAAACATGAGCAACATGTTTCCCGTCAGGGTTCGAACCCAGTACCATGGCACACGAGTTAAACACCGTATATTAACCATTGGCAGGGGCGTAGCAAAGTCATTTTTATTGGGGGGGGGGGGGGTAAAAATGTCTTGAAAAACGCACTTGCACGTCCGTGCTGAAAGGTAGACAGGTTTTTTCTCCCGACAATTGGCCTCCGTAAAATCACATGGAGGGGGGGGGGGGGGGGGGGGGGGGGGCTGGTATGGGGGTGCTTGTTCAGAAAAAAAACGGCACTTGTTAACAAAAGAAGGGCACTCTTCACAAATATGGGGGGGTAGGCGCTGGTGAAAAAAGGGCATTTGAACGGAAAAGGGCAGTCTTTACAAAATATTGAGGGGTTTATATCCCCCTTACTCCCCCCTCCCCACCCCACTGGCTACGCCTATGATTGGCCGACAGCTCTCCACAATGTCCCTCCCAGTGGTCTTCCCCAACTTTCCCTTTATAACCATCGAGGGGTACCTGTGCACGAAGTCTATAGGCTGGGGCTGGCATGTGACGACAGCATATGTTTTGAATTTCTGCTGCAGCCAGGCTTTTTGTCAAACTTCATCATGGGGGTAAGATTTTGGTGGCACGGAGGTTGAAAACCTGACACAAATACAGGGCGAGTCCAAAACAGTGGAACCCAAACCCCCAAAATTATATTTCATCATTAAAAAAACTAGTGCAGTGCCCATCTAAAATGTGCATGTTCGGGAAGCGCAAATTGCTTTGCCGCTGGTATTGGTTGCATGCTTGCAGAGTTTTTGAGAACAGCTCGTGCGAACAACGTATGCGATTCAATGGTGTTGTTTTGACAGGTTGAATGCACACTCATGTCAAAGTTTGTGCCAAGTTTGAAGTTGTTTGGGCGATTGGTTCTCAAAAAAGCTGCAAAAATAGCGCAGATATTCACCCCTACTGGACAATGGTATCGCCCTGCAGTAAGGTTGCTCAGTCGACCGCCAACAATGGTCGCTCAGTCAACTGCAAAAAATAATGTGCCCATGCAGCCACCACGTACGTGTACATACGGAAACATATGGTATGCAGTGCTATTCACCCATACTGGACAATGGTATCGCCCTACAATAAATGTTCCCTTCCTTTTTCCAGTGTTGCGTCATATTGAGCATGCACGCTTTCACTTATCCATAAAAGAGCCGGGGAGAGGGCGGAATCCCCCTCAACTTTTTTCCGCGATAACCTTGAAAAAATTTTTTTCGCGACCTGAGCTGTTATGACTTTTAGCCTCGAGCCTTGCACATCTTTTGATACCAAAAACATAAAAATCGGACCACAGGTTGCCACGTAGAGAATAATGGCACTGCACATTCTGGGGTCCTGAGCAATACACCTGCCAATTTTCAACTTCATACGGTGTCCGATTCTGAAGATAATCGAAATACAGACAGACAGACAGAGATTTCCGGAATTATAGTTAGATATACAACATTTTGCTTTTGCTGTAATTTTCAGAAAACGATGGATTTGGGGGTTAGTATTTTTAGCAAATATTGTTACCCTGACCTGATTTTGTGTTCATAGATACTGGGGGGAAAAAACAAGAAAAGATGCTGTTCTTGTAGTCTGGTTCCCTGACCCTACTTTATATGAAACGGACCAATTAATAGATGTCAAGGAATTGTCAGATCAGGGAACCAGACTAGCTGGCTTGTGGACTAACTAAATTTGGTGAATTAGGGGCAGTATTTTTTTTTTTTAAAGTCTTTTTTTCCCGAACGATGGTCAGCCGACCATCGTTGGAAATGGATTCAAAAATTCCACATTAAATTTCTTAAAAATGACATCACACCTAAATGGTTTCATAGGATGCTTGAGAGAATATTATTCACTTACAGTCAAATTAGGTATTTCATAATAATTTGGCAGTTTTGTTTTTGGATGTTTTTTGCAAATGTTGTATACTACGTCTAATTTAATTTCATCAAGCTAGTTTGTAAATTTTCTTTGACTTACGTATCTGCCAGTTCCGAAGAATGGAGCGAGTTGAACAGTATCCTTGACGTCCCACGCCCAGTCCTTGTACACATAGGTCTTCTTGCCGGGTCTTAGGCGTTAAGATCATGACCGCCTCGTATGCTTTAGTGGCCTTCTCGTCTTCATAAGTACCCCAGCCGAGAACTATGACAAACAAAAAACCCACAAGGACAAAAAACAACAACCGTACAATAAATAACGGCAATACTGGTGTAGTTTAGAACTACAAGAGTTAGCTTGAGAAACTCTAGCTTGGGAAACCCCCTAGCTTGAGTTACTCCAGCTCCAATGCTCATCAGGAATTCGACATAGAGCTGGAGCTAAAACCATGGTTGTAGATACTAGATTCTAATAGAGGCTTTAACAAACGGGACTCTCTGTATCTGTATCACGACAAAAAAAATCCCAACCCAGATTCCATTAAACACAATGTTTGTTTAATGAAATCTGCATTTAATAATTAATAATACTAATAATGGGTTGGAAAACTAGAGGAAAAAAAGGACCATTTTTGTAATACAGATACAGAGAGTCCCGCTTCTATAGGTATACATGCTGGAATCGCCATCTGTACCTCTAGGGGCGACTATTAATATCCTAATATCCCTAATATCCTTTTTAAAAGCTTATCTGTCCAGAAATCAAATTGGAATGCGTTCTAGGGTCATTCAGGCATCTTTCCAGCAAATTTGAAGCAATTTCATTTTTTGGCCAAAATTTAAAAAAACAAACCAGAAGGGGTTAGCCTTACTTTTTTAATAAAATTTGGCCCAAAAAATGACTTTTCTCCAAACTATGCAGACATTCTTTTCAAGGTAAGAAGAGCATCAATCAACATTCAAGCACCCAATATTTTAATGCTTTTGGGCAAAAATCATAGATTTTGAAGAAAAGCAATAACATTTTTGACTGATTTCACCTCCAACTTTTGTCAAAATATTCTTTTTAAAAGCTTATCTGTCCATAAATCGAATGGGAGTGTGTTCTAGGTTCCTTCAGGCATCTTTCCAGCAAATTTGAAGCAATTTTTTTTTTTGGCCAAAATTGAAAAAAAAAACAGCAAGGGGTTAGCCTTACCTTTTCAATGAAATTTGGTCAAATGACTTTTCTCCAAACAATGCAGAAATTCTTTTAAACGTAAGAGGAGCATCAATCATCATTCAAACACCCAATATTTTAAAGCTTACGGGCAAAAATCATCAAGTTTTGCAGAAAAACAACATTTTTGACTGATTTTACCACAAACTTTTGTCAAATTATCCATTTTAAAAGCTTATCTGTCCAGAAATCGAATTGGAATGTATTCTAGTGTCCTTTAGGCATCTTTTCTGCCAATTTGAAGCAATTTCATTTTTGGGCCAAAATTGAAAAAACCCAAATTTTTAAAATGAAATTTGGCCAAAAAATGACTTTTCTCAAAACTATACAGAAATTCTTTTAAAGTTTAGAGGAGCATCAATTAACATTCAAACACCCAATAATTATATTAAAGATTTTCGGCAAAAATCATCAATTTTTGGAGAAAAACAGTAACCTTTTTGACTGATTTCACTGCAAACTTTGTCAAAATATCCTTTTTAAAAGCTGATCTTCCTGGAAATCGAATTGGAATCCATCTGGCAACTTTGAATTCCGAATGTGAATAAACCAAAACAAAACAACCAAATGGCTTCGTAAAAGGATGCTGTGCGTGTTTATGGTGCAAATCGAGGACGAACACGTGCAATATCATCGATGCATCGAGGACCGAATCGAGGACTCCTCGGTTTGTTGGAAAACGTGTACAAAACCAATAAGAGCTGTTGCGAAAAAGTTCAGGTATAAACAAAGGAAAAGTGAAGAGGAACAATAGAAAATCCTCCATTCACACCAGTGTCTGATTGGGTTTTATTTTTTTGCTGTATACATTCTCACGTTACACATCTTACTTCTATGCCAATTTATACAAATCTGTGTGTCCAAAATTGCTAAAGCTTTATTTATAAAAGTGAATAATACCGAGTCCTCACATTCTACTATTTGCGTTTTGCAGCTGCATACCTCATATTGCATTAGTTAACAAGGGTCAATTTAAAGTTCGTTTCTAGCCACGTTTTTTTTGTATAAAACAACGCTGATTTTGTTCTTATCAATACCATGACAATTCAAGTGCATCTTTGTTACAAATTTATAAAAGCCTTGCTTCTTCTTTCAACTTTGGATTCTTGAACTAGACTGATATATTATAGTTTACATAGTAATTTTCGATGTTGCATATATTTCTTTTTTTTGTGAAGTTTGAACACAAGTTAATACCAAAGTAGCGATTCTCAACAGTTTGAACTCAAAGTGTGTTTGTTTGATGAAAACATTTTTTAGATTGTTTGTAATTTTTGTTAGAACTTCTACATGGTAATAGATTATAATGCGACTTCAAAATACTTCAGTCTTTGTAAATAAGTGACTTGATCAAAGTTAGTTAGTTAAACCTTTTTTTCTTAAAGTTGCTAAATGAAAGCTGTTCTCGTGAACAACAAAACTGTTGGTGAACACAAAACTGTTTTGAATTTATTGTTAGCTTTTTCAAATAGACCTACACACACTGTGGTATAATTTCTGGCTCAGATTGATAGCTGGTTATGGTTTTTGCCTCTTTACAAATAATTGCTGATCTAAATGGTATTGGACTTTGTAACTTCCGTTGCAGATGATGTTGGAATAATGCTAGATGTTTACAAGTTTTGTTTGGGTGGTTTGATTCTGTCGATCTTGTAGCTTGGATCCTGTCCCTCAAGCCAGTACGTCAGGATTTCACCTTTGCCCTGAAAAAAAGAGAAAGGCACAGGTCAGAGAATGATTGAAACAGTTATCTCTTGTTTCCTTTGAAATATGATGGAATTGATAATTTGCATCAGTGATGAAAACTAAAGGTAGGGTAGATCATTTGTCATTTGTGCATTGTTGTTTGTTTGAAGCAACAAAAGTGCTCAATATCTCAAGACGGTTGCGTAACAACTTGATGAAGATTTAGCTCTGTGAATGCCGTGTATTCAGCGGAAACAGTATTCTAGGGTCTCGGTTTTAATTCAAAAGTTGCTGAGTCATACTTTGAATTGTTCCCAAAATCAGCATCCGAGACACGTTCTGATTCAGCTGATTATAGCTACCCAATGTCACGCACTGTACCAATGAATGATAAGTATGCGTGCGTATGTTCGTCGTGTCAACGCTTGCGCGCACCTATTTACGGATTCGCCAAATTACAAACCAACCACTTAGGGAAATTTCCAAAAATGTGTCACTTGACATATCTTTGGAAATGGCCTTCTTTTATTGTTTTCTTCACAATGACAGCATGTAATGCTAGCAAGAAAAATTTCACAGGCAGTCCGACCAGCTGTACTAAGGGTGCTTTTCTATTTTTATTTTTCCTGTAATGTTCCTACTTGGGTCTCAATCATTTTGTGGCTGGACTCTGATGTTCTCTAAAAAAATAGGCTCTTCTTGTGTCAGAGATGCCACCAATATATCAATAAAAAGCCTGAAACATTACTTAAAACCTGAAACTACCCTTATCCCCTTTCAAAAATGTGTTTTCTGGATGTTTCAGATCAAATCCAGCATTTTAATTTGTCACATTAAAACAAAAAAAATCTGATTTCAGGTTAAAACCAGAAAAGTGGCATCTCTGTTGTGTCCAGGATTTAAGCCAAGCCACCTTACCGCTACCATGTGCTATTTGTTCTAGTACAGCTGGCAACAGTCACTTCAATAGTACGCATGAATGAAACGTGGATACTTTAATACATCCTCGTTTGCAATTCATATTTGTGACCTTTCTTTTTCCATTTTCATATCTTTCAAAATATAAAATCGTATTGGTATGCATCTTAACATGTATACATGTATACATGCATCAGGAGTTATAAAAACACATGCAGTGTTGATATTTGTGCAATGTCCGTTTTGTGCTTCCGTAGACAGGGCCAGGTTGCCTGTTTGAACTGTAACCTTGAATTAATAGCATTTTTCAGTGCTTGTTCGTATGTTCGTATGTGGGCCTATATTGAACTTGAATAAAGACCATGATCGTAGTGTTGCTTTGTTATGGTACTGTGTGACACAAATAGCGACTGGTTATTCTTGTGTTGGGTAAAGGAATTTAGCTGTTGTTGCACCATTCATCGCATGAGGATAAAGTATAGGCCTGACATGTACACATTATAAGCTTAAGGCTTACAACTTACAAGTTGATGGTAGTTCTGCCATACTTTTTTTACATTTGGCGAAAGTATTATGCTTGTGGTGGAAAACTTCAGCTAACTGTTGATCCAGTTGAAGTAGGTGAGTTCATTACATAGGCCTACAGCATTTTGGCTGGATTTTGCACGAGTCTTTTCTTTTCGTGCGTTCGCTTTGTTTTTGAACATGAAAAATAGCCTATAGGCCTACCAGGAAAATTATGCATGAGATTTGAAGGAATGTTTAGCATTTCAGTAAATGTGATGAGTGAGTAGGTGGTGTTCCTTCCCACCAAACGTTTGAAATAAACATGATGCTTTTTAGAGAAAAACATATTGAATTCTCTTTTCTGAATCGAAGTCTGAAATCTAAGTCTATATCTTTGGTCCTGTTTTACATTAGGGCCTATACTCCCATTTTATTATTTCTAACTCCCAATGAGTTAGCATGCAGTCAATGTATACAAATGAATCTCCTGTTACATTTAGATTTTCAGGCTGGTACGGTGTGGTAAAACGAAATGGGGGCATAGGGGTGTGCACTTACGGGCAGTAAAGGAACCGGGTACCCATTTGAAAAAAATATGGGTACCCAGGTACCCGTTAAAGAAACCCAAGCCAAACATTTAAATCTGGAAAGTTGCTGTTCAGATTGTTTATAAAGGTCAGCATGATAATACTACCACATCGGTGCGGCAATACGGCTAGATAGGGTGTATACATTGAACTCTTTGCTATGTGGTGAAAACTGCAACTTTCGCAAGCATCATAAAACATAAAATTAGTTTTGGTTTTCCATGTATCGTGTTCTTTATTTTGAAATGTTCCCACTGACATTCAAAACACTATTTCATTGACTGAAAAGTTACCAAGCAATTTGCAAAGTTGGTTATGGGTACTCGATTCCATAATCTGGAGCTGGTTCCTGACATTAACTGTCGGGTACTCGGTTACCCAGCTCCGATGCACAGCTCTATGGGGCAATCACCTGTTTGTTATAATTTTGAACTTATTTAGACACGGAGGTTTGTTCTGTTTTGATTAGGTCACACTTGAAATATGGCGGAGGCTGCAGCCAAAACTGTGTGGAAGATCAGCCAGGGGCATCTGGAATGTCCAATCTGTTGCTGTCTTTTCAAGGATCCCAAGATGCTGGACTGTCTGCACAGCTTTTGCCTGAAGTGTCTGGATGAGATGATGAGCAGACAGAAGCCAGAGGCAGAGAAGATAACATGTCCAGTCTGCAGGAGAGAGACGCAAGTTCCTGATGGAGGATTGCAGAGTCTAGCTTCGTCTTTCTTTCTTAGTTCTCTTGTCGATGAGGTCAAACAACAGGGGAAGCATGGGCACCTACCGCCACATGTGACTGTGGAGAATGCAAGGAGGCCACTTGGAGGTGTCTCGATTGTAGTGATAACCTCTGCCAGAAATGCTGCGAAGCTCATGAGAGGGTCAAATACACCAAAGACCATCAAATCATTTCATTGGGAGATTGGCAGGAATCAAAGATGCCTCCAGCAGAACATAGCAAACCCATCACCCAAATGTGTACGATCCACCATGACCATCCTTTGTATTTTTACTGTGACACATGCGACACCTTAATCTGCTCTTTGTGTGTCGCATTAGATCATCGGTCAGCAGAGCACAATTTCTTCAAGATTGATGACACTATCAGGTCCTTCCGCAGTGAGGTCGACAACATACTGCAGAAGTTTGAGAAGAGCAGGCAGCACTTCAAATCTACTGAAAAGTCAATCGAACATGCACGAACAAGATTACAAAAGAAACTGGCTCAGGCTCGGAGTGATATTGATGCAAAAGCAGAGGCAGAGATCACTAAAATCAGAAACAAAGCAAAGCTTCTCACCGACAAGGTCGACAAAATCGGTCAGGAGAGAGACAGTGAGTACGAAAAGGCACTCATGCACAACCGTGACCAGATGGAATGCGCAGATCAGATCGTCACGGCCGTAAATGAATTGATGAGTCAAGCTGATGATTTCGAGCTTTTGGAGCTCAAGCCGAAGGTGATGCACAACTTGGAATTCCAAAAGGACCTCAAGTTTGAACCAGCAAATCATGGTCCGTCGTTCATCGGTGTCAGATGTCACGACGTTGTGAGTGATTCAGATCTTGGGGAGGTGTGTGTCAGTGAGAAATGGCAATTAAAGGAGGAGTTCGGCAAAAAAGGTACGCAATTTTGAAACGGTTATCGTTGTTTAGCTCACCTGGGAGGTATAATACATCGGTTGCTAAAGGAGATGCTAGGCATCAGTTGGAAGCTCCCTTTGGTGTTGCCGTGACCCATGATGATCTGCTTTTTGTCACGGACAAAAAGAAAGTGAAGGTTTTTAACAATGACCTCCAGTTTGTTCGCGAGTTTACACCTTCGGCTGACGATGCCGATGGGCGATCAAAGAGTTACCTCCGTGGTATTGCTGTTGACAGTGAACGAGTAGCAGTCGCTGACGAGGGGAGAAAGGTCATCAGTGTCCACAACCTGGACGGATCATTGATTTCAAGCATCTCAAATAGCATGGTTGACTATTACTTGGCAATAAGCAATTTTGGCTGTTTAGTCTTCACAAACTATGAGGGCCAAAGTTTGCTGTGCATTAACTTTAAAGGTAAAGAGATGTTCAATGTCAAGACATTAGTGAATGGCGAAGCTGCTAAGGCAACTGGTGTCCTGTGTGATGATGATGAGACCATCTATGTTGCTATTCATTACATAGGTAGGGGCAGCTGTGTAGTGCAGCGATACGATTCAAATGGTGCATTCGTAGCAACAGTAGCTCAAGGGTTGTACAATCCGATAGAAATGGCATTCACCCCCATTGGTAACGTGGTTGTTGCAGACCGACACTCCATTAAGATCTTTGAGCGGATGTGATTTGCCTGATTATGGCCCTCTGAAAAACTAACCGCTGTACTTGAACCGGGGCTAACCTGCATCCAATGATTTGCCACACAAGGCCCCGCAGAGCATTACCAACATTGCAGTTGAACCAGGGCTATTAATATCTTGTACATTCCTGAAATAATAATATTTACCCAGATTGTAAAACCCATTTAAAATTGATTTAACTGGTAGTGTTGGTGTGTTATCAGTTAATCTCCCTCAATGCATTTTGGCATGTGCGTTGGCCTGGGTAGGCCTACATTGCGTTATGGGAAGTTTGTTATTGTTAGGCAAAATAGGACTGAATTATGGGGACTTTCTGCTGTCCCCACAAATGTGTGAGTAGGCCTATGGTGTACTCTCCAGTAATAAAGTCGGAAAGAGAAATCGTAGAAGAAATCGTGGCTAAATAGTGGAGAAATAGGAAAAGGGTTGAATAATTCTTGAACCGTTTAACACTTTTTGCTGACAAACTTTTTTTGAGATTAAAGGGACCGTAACTTCTTAAATTCGGCATTCAATTCACAAAATTTAATTTACTACTGTAACGTTGTGAATATGGTCATTACCATTTGTAATGTTATAATAAGAAAAAAAAGTCCATAAGTTTTATGTCAGGTAATATGAAATGTCTTAAATCTTAATGAAGCGTGTTTTGCCAATGTTCATTTTGTAAAAGTACACTGTATATGAAACACAATGGCACGTGACTATGTAAATATCTAATTAAAAGCTTTGTACATTTTTCATGTATAATTCCTTGGATCACAAAACTGACGACCTATCACACAAACCATTTGTGCACTGTCCATTTTGTGCTTCCGTAGTTAACAGAGACAGACTGCCTCGTTGAACTCTAAACTTGAATTGATAGCGTTTGTATTGTTGGTACATGACGTTGGCTTAGTGCATATACAAACATGTATGTACAGTGTACATGTACATACCGGTTGTGTACAGTGAGATTAAAATAGCAACTGGTTTTTCCCATGATGAGTTATTGACAAAACCATGTAAGCTTTCAGGCCAGACAGGGGGATATTCCTTCTTTGCGTCCAAGTTTGTTTCTGCATTCAATAGGGGACGTTGAACAATAGAGGACAATGGGGTCCCCAATTCCTGAGAGCTCCCCAATTTGGATTTGTGTACAAAACATATGGGAGGTCTTCCTAAAAAGTTAGGGTACAAACAAAAGAGGGACAATAGGGGGTCCTCCATTGCAGGCAAATACACACTTATGTGTGTGTGAATGTTCCAGTTAACTGTATAAAGTTCAGTCATCAATCTCAACAAAACTTGAAAGGTGGTCTGTGGAGCCCGATGTCAAAAAAATCCTTTCCAATATCGATATTTACGAGGTCTCTCAGGAGTACAGCTCAGATTCTAACTAACTGCCTGTACATGTACACAAACTGACTGACATATGTTAGATTCATTAGACCTCGTAAATATCGGCCTTCTCTCCATGGACTTACGATGACATTGTGGGTTTTCAAGGACATTCGTTTTCCTAATGTACGATAATTCTGTTTGTAAGGTTTTGTTTTGACTTATAGCTAATGAATATTTTATCTATGCTTTATGGTTTGATTTAATTTCCTTCTTATGCTGTAAGCACACGTTTTACAAAAATGCTTTAGTCAGGCAGTTCTTCGCTTGTTCTTCAAGTCGTTTGTCTGTAATTTGCTTGAAATATCTGGACCACCTGTTAGTTGTTTCAGTTGACGCAAACATATGTACATGTGCCTATACACACTTCTCCACAGCCCAATATTTTCAGGACCATACACATGTACATGTACATCTGACTTGGATGACAGTCCTACATGACTGATGATCCTAAAACAATTGTGAAAACAGCATGCCGGGGGAATCACGCAAGTTTGACTTGCAGTATTTTTTTTCTGTCAAAACATTTTTTTAAACCTTAGTTGTTCTCTTATTCTCCTAAAATTGTATCCAATTGTTTATTTTACTCCTTGGCAAATTCCTTCTTGTGTTTTTGTATTCGTTGTTTGATCCAGATTGAGTTTTCTTCTGAAGTATTTGAGAAAATTGTCTTTTATTCAAGGATTTAGATTGGGTTTTTTTTTGGCATATGAAGGATTTTTTTATGAGACTTAATTAAATTTTTGAGAAATTAATTTTGTTCCCTTGATATTTTCTTTTTTGTCCAAGTTTCTAAACATAAATCACGACCTAATCATTTGAGCCCGGACTTTTTCTCAATGAGCCATTTTTTTCCTGTTACACACAGCCAAAAAGACAATACAATGACTAAAACACTATTCAAGGCTGACAAAGTACTATGCATGTAGCAACCAACATAGAAACAGCAGCATATGCAAGTGCGTTTTGCATGTTGTGCGTTTTGCATGTTGCGCGTTTTGTTCCCGCGCGCTTCAAAGTTAAGTTCAAACATTTCATGAAGGGGTAGTTCGGAAAAAGACAGTTTTCAATCACTATCAATCACACTGAAAAAAAGAACATTTTTATGAGATTTCGGTTAAATTAATCAGTTATCCCTCAAAAGCAAGCAGAATCTGTGGGTGGGGTTTATAAAAGAAATATTGACTACTTTCAACTTTAAGTGAAACTAGCCTCCCTCTGTGATCCATGGAGCATTCAATTTCCCTGGGTGTCACCGCCGGAATATAGAACACTGCATGGATCATCTCAGGAGGCTAGTTTTGCCACACCAACCAAAGTAGTCAATACTTGTATAATATCCTCAAGTTTAGGGATTCAAACAATTTTTGTTTGTCATTCAAATATAGGGTGCATTCGAGTAGCTCACCCGGATCAAGTTGGGTAAAGGCAGACGGGTTAGCCATGAGAGCTGTGCTAATGAATCGCTCAAACCCATGCCATCGAGAGCCTCACGTGACGTCCGTAGCCACGGCCGTTGCCACTGACAAAACACCCTTTTCGAACTGAGGTTTTTTCTTCAGATTTACTGCTTTTTTGTCAATCAAAATAAGTAAAAATGCTGGGTTGGAATTATAGCCTCTAAAAGTCGCAATGAGATCAACAAATAATTACATCAAGACTTCAAATAAAGTTGGTCTTTAGGTTCACTTGATCTTTACCACTGTCCGGCCCCCATATTTGTCTATTACTTGGGCTGAACAATGCATGCGAGGAACGTATTTCCACCACTGACTCCGCTCCACGAGCAGGGTCTGTGGTGGCTGACCCGGGTGAGCCCCGAGAATGACGTCAGAGCTAATCGAACGGCACGGGGCTAACCTGAGTCGACCCGGGTGAGCTAATCAAACGCACCCTAAGAAAGGAGCTACGCAAAGAAAATAAATGCTGTACCTTCATGGCAACGAGTCCTCTCTCTACTAGATTGTATCCCCCGAGTTCCTCCAGTACCTGTCTACATTCAGGACTCACGGGAATCTTGAGCGCTGTTAAATTGATGGGGTGAGGGAAAATAAATTATTCGGCTCACAAATATAACATATCATGAACATTTTCCATGAATAATTGAAGTTGGGTTATACCATAGAGCTATAATAAATTACTAGAGCACTAACTCGCTGTATAAATGAAGCCTGCATGGCCCAAATTTATGGCTCTGCTTACCACAAAATTCCACGCTTACGATCATCATTCTGTGCTCACCACGCTAGCACAATTCTGCACTAACCCTATAAGCACAGAATCCTAGTACAGGACATATGCATGAACACAAGCCAAAATTCCTCGCTAACCCGTGAAATATGCTTACCGCCAGCAGGGAATTTTCTGCTATAGTAAGCATGGATTTTTGCTAACGGTAT